CCAAATTACAGAAGTATGTTTTAAAAAGTTTTATGAGTGACTCACAGTAATCTGAAATTCAAACTTTTATAATTGAGAAACATTTTATTCCTTGGTTACTTGTATTTCAGACAGTATTTCAAACTTGTATTTGTATTTGAAATAAAACCTGTATTTCAAACTTGTATTTTCAAACAGTATTTCTTAAATGTATATCTAGGACTTGAACAAAATCTCTGGAATATTGGAAGACACAGAAAATTGGCTTTATGAAGAAGGAGAGGACCAATCAAAACAAGTTTATGTGGATAAGTTACAAGAACTAAAGGTAAATTCAATAGAACATTAAAATTTTCACCAAAAAAAAAACACCTACAGTGGTGTCACAGTATATGTTGTTAGTATACGTAAGGAATTGCTGAAGCAGATATCTATAAGAGGTGCTCACACAGTTGTCATTTTAAAAGCATTTTGACAACATACTGCTACAAGAAATTAAAAATCTATTCATCATTATCTATTATAGTTGGATCACTGTGTGTTTCAAGATTGCAGTTTATGAGGACCGCATAAATTGCCACTCTACTCACTTCTATTCTTTTCAGAAAGGAATAAGGAGACTCACCCAAATCAAGCTCCCTGCCACCGAGTTGATTCGGACTCATAGTGAGGGACCCTATAGGAAGGACAGTGTAAAAGTGCTTCTTTGGGTTTCAGAAATTTTCAATATTTACAGAAATAGACAGCCTCATCTTTCTCCCACAGACTGAGTGGCTGGTTCAAACTGCTGACCTTGCAGTTTTGTAGCCCTAGGCCAATGGTACTTTAAAGTAAGACCTCTGTTTCTCTTCCTTGCTTCCTATCCAGCCCTCACTGTGAGAGGCAAGGAGAACCTTAAGAGATTACAAGTTCATTGTAGTCTGGATCATAGCAGTGCTTTACTATGCACCTAAATTACCTGAGGTGCTTATTGAAATCAATGCCATTCATAAGGACTTTTAGCGTATAGGAAAAAGGCTTTTAGGTGTGGAATGGGGATAGATACAGTTTTAAAGCAAAAGCAGTATCTGTTTAAAAATATCTTCATGCAGAGATCAGGTATCAGTTATCAGGCATCATCTGAAAAAAAAATCTTATCATATGAATAAGGGGGAGTGCAGAGTGGAGACCCAAAGCCCATCTATAGGCAATTGGACATCCTCTTACCGAAGGGTCTCGGGAAGGAGACGAGCCAGTCAGAGTGCAGTGTAGCAACGATGAAACATACAACTTTCCTCTAGTTCCTAAATGCTTTCTCCCCCAATTCTACCTTACAA